CAGCAAGGACGAAGAGATTGACAGAGCGTCGAAGCGGGTGGAGGAGCTGGCGGCGGAGAACCAGCGGCTGAGAAATCAGGTGGCCGAAGTGACGTCAGCGTTGGAAGAAGAGAGGAGGGAGAAAGAAGAGAAATTGAAGCTGTTGGAGGCTGAAATTTCGGAGCTGAAGAAAACGGCGTCGGATCGTGTGATTAGTTTTGAAAACGACGAGCTTTCGTCGTCGCAGAGATTTCAGGGACTGATGGAGGTCACCGGAAGGTCGAATCTGATCAGAAATCTGAAGAGGGGAGTGAAATGCGCCGACATTCCGACAAATCCGGAGAATCAGAAGCTCGACGGCTCCGAGTCGAAGAGGGAAGAGCCGGAATCAGAGAGGCCGAGGCTGTCGAGGTGTAACTCGGAGGAGTTAGCCGAGTCGGCTCTGGCTACCATCAGATCTCGCATCCCGAGGGTTCCCAAACCGCCGCCGAGACCGTCCACATCCAACAGTCAAAACAAGGCCTCAACAGAACAGGGGAATGCATTTCCACCACCGCCTCCGCCGCCGCCAAGTCAGACAAAATCCACACTCCCACCGCCACCACCTCCGTCTAAGGCGGCTCCACCTCCGCCTCCTCCGCCACCGAGAGGTTCAAGGCCAGCGACGGCGAAGGTGAAGCGAGTGCCGGAGGTTGTGGAGTTCTACCACTCCCTGATGCGAAGAGACTCCCGGAGGGAGTCCGGCAGCGGAGTCTCGGACGCAACGGGAACCGCCAATGCCCGCGACATGATCGGCGAGATCGAGAACCGGTCAGCTCACCTGCTTGCTGTAAGTTCCGGTAGCTTGTGTTTTTATCTAAATTACGACTTTGCCACTGGCCTTTTTGCAGTGTCAGTAAGGTGGCCCTCCTATTTGCCCTTTCCGTTGGATTTTGTTGTTTGCTTGATAGATAAGACAATTCGCAAATTCGAAATGCTTTGGTTTAAATGCCAAAAAGGTGTAATTTTTGTGATGTTTAGGGGCAAATCTTTATCGCTTGTGAAATTGATGTGTTTTTTGTATTTGCAGATAAAAACGGACGTAGAAACGCAGGGAGATTTCATTAGGTTTTTGATAAAAGAAATCGAAAACGCAGCGTTTACAGACATCAACGATGTGGTGCCTTTTGTGAAGTGGCTGGATGATGAGCTCTCGTACTTGGTAACATTTCATTTTCCGTTTCGTAAATCTGTTATTACTTGACTTAATCGAGTCTCGGGGTTGCAGACGTGAGTTAGACTAGTTTGTAAAGGCAATGTCTGCCGCATTCCCGTGCATTAGAGTAGTTAAGAATACCGTATTGACATTGAATTTGTTTATTTAGGTGGATGAAAGAGCTGTGCTGAAGCACTTTGACTGGCCGGAGCAGAAGGCGGATGCTCTGCGCGAAGCGGCATTCGGGTATAGCGATCTCAAGAAGCTTGAATCCGAGGCCTCGTCGTTCCCTGATCATTCTCGCCAGCCCTGCGGTCCAACCCTCAAGAAGATGCAGGCTTTGCTGGAAAAGTAAGTAGATTTCTTCATCTTTTAGTATTGTCCTTGAAAATTATAGGCAATTTTAGTGTAATGTACTTAAATGTGTTGGAATAATTTGAACAGATTGGAGCATGGGGTTTACAATCTCTCGCGGGTGAGAGATTCCGCCACTAAAAGATACAAAGTTTTCCAAATTCCTACAAATTGGATGCTCGATTCTGAATTTGTAAGCCAGGTAATTCACTGTTCCAATATTTCATACTGTATGCCAATTTTGTGAGAACTTACATGCATCAGGATGACACTTTAGCGATATCCCAAGTTAATTACACATTATCACATGAACAAATTAAAATACAATGCATGATTGATTTGAGATACCGTTACAGTATTCGCATCCCGACTCCGTCAAAGTTTCTCTCTAGTCTCATCTACACTCAATCACCCACAAGATCATCTTTTATTATCGGCTAAGGATTTCTATAGGTGGTACTCTTTAGTGACTTGCATACTTGTAGATCTTGGAGATAATTGACTAACTGAAGAATCTTTTGACACGGTCTAGGATGCTATCCAAGCTCAGGGCTTAGGGGTGACAAGATGTACCCATTTTTTAATGTACCGAGTACACGATATAATATACTAAATGTTATAATACAAGTAGTTGAGTATTTAGAAGAAAAAAATTCAATAATTATGTTATGATATTTGGAGTACCGGACGGACCGTATTCTCTCCGCACTGAAAATTTTGAAATTAAATAAGACCTAGATTTTTCAATATTTTCTATCCCATGCCTGCATGCATGTGCACATGTGAACTCCCCACCAAATGTTTGTCTTCTTCACTTTTTATTTCAGAGTGTTTTGGTAGGAGTACAAAACTCCCCACCATATGTTTGTCTTTTTCACTTTTTATTTTGGAGTGTTTGGTAGGAGTAAAGAAGTCAAGTGTTGACTTCATAGGAGTAAACAAGCAAATGAATTATTAAGACTCCCACATTTTCAACATTATAATATGTTTTGTCTCGATGCTGCCCCTCAATGTGCTTGGATTCTCACCATTGAATAGAATTGGAGAGAAATGCTACGGGGATTCTCTTTAAAGTATGACTATTTGTGGATTATCTGCTATTTAACGTTAATTTTCATGCTAACATTATAAAGCATTGGCATACAAATTGACGTTAAACTGTGATGTGAGAGATAATCCATGAAGAGTCCATGTAGCATTTCTCTTGCTTACACGTATTCTCATTTTGCATACTATTGTTGATTTTTGTCGCTTGATTCTCCATTGGTTTTATTCAATTCAGGGCTGGTTTGGTATTGCTGTGCTTTGAAAAAAAGCTGCTGTGAGAATAAGCGGTTGTGCTGTGAGAATAAGCGACTGTGAAATAAATCAGCAGAGCGTTTGGTAAACTTTTTTGTAAAAAAGCTTTTGGAAAAAAAAGTAGTCTGATAGTGGGTCCTTTCATTAAAGGAGCACTGTAGCTCCATGTGCTTTGAAAAAAAAACAGTTCCAAAGCTACAAATAGCAGCTTCAGCTTTTTCCTTTGATTTCAGCTTATTCTCATAGCAGCTTCCAAAAAAGCCCTTTTTTTTCAGTTTACCAAACACCTAAAACCCTCACAGCTTTTTTTCATAGGTGCTTTTTTTTTAAGCACCTCACTCCCAAACTAGGTCTCAAAAAGCTAGAAATAGAGAGGGATACGCAGAAGGAGAAAGTGTGAGTGCGAAAATCATTTCTCTTCGAAGAATACGCCGCATAAGTGTTATGTTAGCAGAAAAGAATACAAACATATGGAACTGAATTATTGTTTGATTGCATTGCAACCCAAAAAAAAAATGTGATTGATAGTACCAGCAAATGTTTGTTAGTTTTGTATTATACTGACTATGGTGGTAAATGATCGCAGATCAAGTTGGCATCGGTAAAATTGGCAATGAAGTACATGAAGAGAGTCTCTGCCGAGCTTGAAATAGTCGGCGGTGGTCCTGAAGAAGAAGAGCTGATAGTTCAAGGCGTTCGATTTGCCTTCCGCGTACATCAGGTAACTGAAAAAACACTTAAAACAGCATCAATCCTTTTACTGTTTCCTGCATTTCGCATTCTTACGGTGTGATTGTGAGTATTCGCTGCAGTTTGCTGGAGGATTCGATGCAGAAACGATGAGAGCGTTTCAGGTGTTGAGAGATAAGGTGAGATCGTGCCATGTACAATGCCAGAACCAGCAGCAGCAGAAAATCGTATGCCGGTCTACACCGTGCTAAATCTGTAGCAAGCTCAGCTTCAGAAATTGCTCCGAGAGTTTTTTGTTGTAAAGATGAACTTCTATATGGTATTATTATTGCATTTATGTATTTATATTATCATTATTATTACTCATGACCTTCTCGGCTAGATTGGGTACCGGTTTAATATGTTCCGGAAGTTCACTAACATGTAATACAAGGTAGTAACGCTACAACTTCGTCATCCTCAAATAAAATCGACTTATTCTTTTCATTTCAATTCTTTGCGATCTTGTCATATTAATTCATTATGGTTTGGTTCGGTTTAATTCGGTTCAGTTTAAATAGTTTGGTCAAACGTATCAAACTGGACTCTATTGCGTGGTGGGTGGTGGGTGGTGGGTGATGGGTGATGGGTGGTGGGAGGTTTAAGTAAGATATAAGGCAAATTATATTTTTAAATTAAATATAACTGGCTTGGGCCAACCAGTTTGTCAAGAAAAACTTAACCCGGCCTGATCTATAGGTACGTGCCCGATTTTAAACGGATCTTACTCGTGTTGAACTGAGTCTGGTATGATGGGTTGTACACATGCAGCTACAATTTGGTGAATAATACAAATTTGGGTTTAGACAAGTTGATTGGTTATCACAAAATATGTAGTTGAAAACCTTTTATCTAGGCATGCTTAATATCGATAAATAAAACATTTATGAAATAAAAATTCACTTAGATTTTTATGTTTTGCATCTCCTCAGAACTCAGTAGCCGTAGCAGTGATCACATCTAATGTCAAGGCATATATTTCAACATATCTGACTCGTTCATACCAACTCAGATGTCTACTCCATGTAAAATTCCTTTTAAATAAAAGTTCATCTCTATAATTACAGTTATCAGTTGACAACTTTAGTTATGTCTTCATTCTTGTCATGCTTCGTCACCTAACTAGATAATAGTCTGCATGTCTCGAGTTCGGTGTCCACTGAACACGGAGTTCGGAGTATGTCAATTTGGTGTGAAGCAAGATTCTCTTCCTTCTTTTTTTTTCCTTCATTTTCCTCCTTTCTTGTTTGAACGGTCAAGGTTAAGACACGTCAACGTTCTATATTAATTTTTTATAGAGAGAGAAAGACAAAATGGAGAGAGTGAAAAGAAGAGAAGGAAAATGATGAAAAGTAGAAGGGGAGAGAATTCTAAACCCTAAAAAAAAGTGTGCTTATGATCCTTCCATTGTTGGATAACCCGTCCTGATTCTAGAAAAAATAAAATAAAATAAAACTCAAAAAATAAAAAGGGCCGGCTTTTACCCGTCGAGAGGCGGTGCTGATCATGTCGGGGCAACAAATACAAAACTCAATTTTTTCTGGGCTGAAAAAATGACGGCCTGCTTCTTTCTAAATCTGTCACTCTCTTCTTCTTCATCTACTGCGTTTGCATCTCACAGAAACTACCAATCACCAGCTTCCTTCCCTCCACTTCTCACTCTAATCCCAACCCAATTCTCCCATCTTCGGACCCCTCGATCCTCTCGCCAAATCAGAGCCGCATCAGCCGCCATGGAAGCCACCCAGCAGAGCGTGACCACCGCATCAGCGTCGCCCATGAAGCTCTTGTTCGTGGAGATGGGCGTCGGCTACGACCAACACGGGTCAGCTTGCTTTTGACCATTTGACTCTTTCATCTCTCTCTTTGCCTGGATTGATGATTGCCCATTTGACAATTTTATGCGTTCTAAGTATCAAAATTTGAGCTTTTTCTGATTTGGTAATTTTGAAGTGTAAAAATTCGAGTTTTTTTTTTAGTTTGGAAATGTAAATTTGGAGCTTTCTTTGGTTTGGTAAACTTGAAGTATCAAAATTTGATCTTTTTGTTAAAGAGAGTGGTCTGGTGATTCTGAAGCTTGATGAAATTGTGTTGGTGTAACAGGCAGGACGTTACGTCTGCGGCAATGCGGGCCTGCAGAGATGCCATCACTTCCAATTCAATCCCCTGCGTTTCGAAGAGGTATCATCATATGTCTTTCTGAAAATTAGGAAGAAGAAAACTAAGTTGTTAGCATACTCCAACGTGAATTTTGGTTGCTACATGCGTTGCTGTTTAATTTTCTGTTTGATAAATTGGATTTGTTGTAGTAGGAATCCTTATGTGATGATGTGCTTGATGACACTATCTCATGATGGATGATTGTAGTCGTATTTGGAGGATTGTAATGGAGTTTGTTTCATTAGTAGTCATGAAGTTCAATTGCTGCAGGGTCAATTCCTGGTGTGACATTTGAGCAGATGAAGCTAGAGATCAAGCTGGGAGTGCCTCGTGTACTCCAACCATCGCTGGATGTCGAGAAGGTCAAATCAGTCTTTCCTTAGTGAGTATCTGCACTTTTTGAGTCTGAATCAAGGAATTTTCATTACCTGAAACATATCAAATTCAACTTAACCAAGTTGTTCTACTAATTTGTGCGTTTGAGTGATAGCTTTCATGGGTAATCAAAGAGCATTACCTGTCTTTACAATTGTGCCTGTTTGTGCAATATAATGACGGATTCTCTTAGTGGTTATAATCATATTGCATTAAGACTGTTGCTGGTACTAATCCATGTTCGAAAGCTTTTCAGTCTATCTGAATTCTTTCTAGCGGGATTATTCCCATACAATGGAGGAAAGATTCTCTATGTTATCCAACTTCTGTTTCCAGTTTGAATTGAGCTAGCTTACATACTGTAGATTAAGGGATATATCCAACTATTTGCTCGTTGATTGTAATCTTGACTTGGTCTAGTCAAGGCATGTACATTGCTGCTTAAGAAAAAATATTGAATTAGCAGTAACTAGTAAGTGACTTTAGTCTTCGCTGAGCTTGAAAACCAATTTATTCGGTTTATCCAATCTGTAGATTTTCATATCTTATCTTATACAGTGTAATGCAATCACATTGAAACCACAATCCATAAGTTCTAATCTGACATTACTTTTGCCTTGTATCTGGCTTAAAACTTGTTTGCAGTGGAGAAATTGTGAAAGTTGAAGTTGTGGATGGTGGACTGATATGCTCGAGTGGCGTGTTGGTGGAAGAAATGGGAGATAAGACTGACGACTGTTACATAGTGAATGCAGCAGTTTACATTGGTTACTAGCTTCTTTTTTCCTCCAAATCCCTTACCGGAGTGTTTTTAAGGTTTGTTCACTTTTGCTTTCTTGCCTGCACTGGTATTTTGTTTATCCCATAGTTGAAGTTAACATAAGAATTGTTGTCAAATGATTTGTCTTTTTGAAGTGGACTTGCTCAAGTTCGTTATCTTGAACTGATACCGAACCCTTCTAGGAGAGTCATGGCTGGTGCATCAGTGTCTTCGCCTGTGAGAGGACAAGCAGTATCCATCAACATATCTTTGATTTTCTGTACCAAGAGCTGTCTTCCTGTCATTTTTGTGGCTGATGATTGTACAGCGAGTCCCCGAATGCTTGGTCTTTTATGCTTATTAATAAGTGGAATTGAAGATACATGATGCTACCGACGATTTCTTCACAAAATCCTAAATTTGTGTTCATATTTGCTTGTCATCCATTTGGAACATAGTAAACGCGCTTGAAATCACTTTAGCTTTCGGGTTGAATTGCAAACCGAAATAATGTGTTTCTGTTGCTGTTGTATCAGTATAGTATCTTCACAAATTCAAGAGCTTAAAAGAAATTATATTGAGCACAATGCTGGAAAATTCCACATGTACATTTCTTCAATTATACCACACCTACACTCTCATTCGGATTTGAATCTGTTCTTTGTCTATCTATGAACTCGAAACCATTCTTCTGGTTCAGTAAAACAATCAATTTACAACTGATTCTGCCACCTTATTGTCGTTTTACCAATCGATGTGAATCTGAAAGAAAGGAAACTAGAGGAAAATGATTTCCGCATCATCTTTTTCCCCCTCTTGAAGGAGAAAACGTGAGCGCACGAATCATTTCCCAATCTAAAATTGGTTGCTACTGTAGCTCAGTGTTGACCTTCACAATTCACATGATGAGAGCTGCGTATAGGAGTTGGTTCCAGGTATCGGGCAACCCTGGCAAGCACCAATGGCTGCAGTCGTTGCCCGAATGATCGCCGCTGTAAGTCGAGGGATGAGCATCCTTCCTCAACTGCGAGAGCATTGTAATGTCGAGCAAGTAAACCGGGCTCTTAATCGCGCTCAGCACCTTATAGACAACAGCAGCAGATGGAGGTGCCCCTGCTGGGTAGGTTGATCCCGATAGCGGTCCAAGTTCTCCTAAGCAAGTCTTCTTCGGCGAATTCCATTCTTGTCCCCTGGTAATTCAACACAATAACGACGTCGTTAATTACGATTAAAGTCACATAATCACTGTTAATTATATCTGCAAGTCTGAGTTTTTACTTACTGGTAATGTGTTGGAGAAATGCCCTGGAAGAAGACTTTGGTTCTTGAAGTATCAACATTTGAGTCAACCCATTTAGCCCATGTGGAAAGCCCCTTATAAAATGCTGTCAAACGATCCATATCTTTGTACAGTTCTGTCCCATCCCGAAAATAATCAAATCTGCACAATACAAGCATCAAATGCAATACTCAGAAAAACAAAAGTTCTGCTAATCTTAGTCGCTCATCCGTAGGGAGCTGTGAGCTGTTGATGCATTGTGGGGCTTGCTTACAATGTGTATACGGCTCACATCCATTCACAATGCATTGCCCACTCGTGTGGGTGTGATGAGTCATTGATGCATTTTGCTTATAGTGCATAAGCGGCTCATGGTCATAGACGATGCTTAACTCACTTGAGTATTTCCTGTGAGTCTGTGAGACGTTAATGCATTTTAGGGCTCAAAATGCATGAACAACTCACATTCAGCAACAATGCATTGCCCACATGCTCGGATTCAGTGAGTTGTTATTGCATTGTGGGAAAATCAGAGTTCATCAATGACTAACAGTCACTTAGAATCCATTCATTGATTCTCACTATGCATAAACGACTCACAGTTACTCAGTATTCATTAATTATTAACAATCACTCGCGTGGGTGAGTGACAAAAAGGTAATGGGTTGAAACGTACGGTTGAGAATCGCCGGTGTGGGTCCACCAATGCCAAGAGTTGAAGATCAGGACGTCCATCCCTTTCCATGCATCTCCGGCGTTGATGGAGTTTAGGTTTAGAACACGGCCAACTTCTTCTCTGACTATATCTACAAGGTACGGTGTCCGGAACATAAACAAAGTCACTCCATAGTCCTGCACAAAATAACACAATTATAAAACCATTCATTTAACTAATTAAGAACTCGTTTGGAATGACTTTAAAAATGGTTGAATGCAATTCTATTGAAAATATTTTTGAAACAACTCCTTAATAAAGATGCAAGTGAATCCTGGAAAAGCAAAAGTGCTTCTTGCAATAAGCATTTTAAATACTTTTAGAACCCAAAAACATTTTCGTTTTTCAGTCATTTTAAAAACACTTCAAAACGAGCCATATTACTTCAAGAAGCTACCCACATGCATGCTTTACTTAAATTTTAATAATTTTGATAATGCATAGTATTTCAACAAGGGACAATTATAATCTGACAAAAAAAAAAACAAGGAACAATTATAAATTGATTTATTGAAACCCCATTGCAGAAAGATCATTGATGAAAGCGGTCCATTACTGGTTGGCAGGTTGCTCATCACAGCCTGGAAAGCTCACGGCTTTTAAAGATCTACGTGGAAAATAAATAATGATGTAGAAGAACATGAAAAAAAAAATACAAATAATATGATGCAAATTGAGGTCCTCATATATATATATTGGTGAGAGAAGCCTCCTATTGAAGGGGTATGAAACTATGTCAAGTATTTAGTGAGTTATCAAATTCAAACAAAATTTGCCCAGAGTTTTATCCGATTGCATTTTTTAGTTAGGTTCTATGGTTTTCTATATGCTTTTTCATTTAGGTAGTTATCTACAAACTTTTGTTTTCTTCCTTTACACTTCCTCCCTTTGATTCTCCTTTAAATTGCTTGATTCAAATATTAGAAAGAAAAAAAAAGTGCGTGAAGAGAAAATAATTGTACGAAAATCATTTCTTTTTCTTTACCTAGTCGTAAACCAAAGGGAAAAAATACATGAAAACTATAAGTTTCTAACCCAGAGGACAATAAAGAGGGAAAAGGAAAATGGAGAAAGTTTGTCTTTTAACTTTTTTTCTCTTCCCTACCCAACCCCACAACAATCTTTCATTGGTTACACCTATTGTTGGTTCAGATGAGAAAGTTTGTTTTTAACTTTTTTTTCTCCCCTACTCAAACCCCACAACAATCTTCTAATAGTTTCACCTATAGTTTGTTCAGCACATCTGATTTGCTGCCCACAACTCACGGGATATAGATCACAAACTGTTAGTTCAGCACATCTGCTTTGCTGCCCACAACTCACGGGATATCGATCACAAACTGTTATACGTTCTAACTTTTTCAACGACAATACGTGATTGACTTATGATTGCAAGTGCCATCCTAAATATTTACACAATTAAACAACTCAACATGGTAAAAAAATAAGAACAATACTTGACTATTTAAAGATGAGTATGAACTCCTACTCAAAAAATTTCAAAATTATTTGTTGTCAATTTATAAAACTTCGTGTTTAGTATTAGAATCGTTCATATTATAAATCACCTTATAAAGATCGCATCTGCAAAAAATCAATTGAAATTAAGGTCGTTTAGTCATCAAGCTGTTTAAAAACAAATGAACAGAATTAGTAAAAGCATTATGAATCGTCTATGTATTTTCTACAATAGTTTGACTAAACGACCTTAGTTTTAATTTATTTTTTGTAGAGATGATCTTTACAGTGTGATTCATAGTATAAACGGTTTTGATCATATGCATAAAACTCTGTGATTAAAACACTAAGAGTTTTGAGTAAGAGTTCCTACTCATCTTTAAATAATCAATTATTGTTCAGAAAAAAAAATGGATAAGGATCCTCCCGGATCCTCTTTATGGGGATTCTAGGGATCTTTACATCCTAACCGTTCATCGTACATTGTATAGTCATGTCATGTGTTATTTAGTTTAATTTTAAATAAAAAAAATTAAATAATTTTTGATCGTACGATGTACAATGAATGATTAAGATTTGAAGATCCTAATTTGGATCCGATAAAATCCAAATCCCCAAAAAAACGAGTAAACCAGTGGAAAACAGCAGAGTGTGGAGAACTAACCTTCTAAAAACAATAAAAAATGGGAAAAAACAGCAGAACATGTTGGAAGAAGAGAAAGATAAACACATGCAGAGATTGAGAGAGAAACTGGAAAGAGGAGAGAGAGGGAGAGAGGGACAGAGAGAGAGACAGAGTGCGTGTGAAAAATCTCTCCACCTCAAAGTTCACAGAATGGCCATTTCTGAAGGTAGTCTTGGCATCTGGCACCGACGCATGTATCATACAAGACAACGATTCCCACATGTTCAGACTCAGTGAGTCGCCCACAAACATTATCTTCTTTCCTCTCCACCTCCTCAGAAAATCCACCCCATCAAACCTGTTTCAAAAATAATTAAACAACTAATATTTTTGTTTGAGCCACGTTGTTAACGCTAATCTACTAATATTTATTCAAAAAACATAATTTGAGACACGTGTTTAGAGAATTAGCACTCCAAAAACGTTATCATGCACATCTCTCTCCTTTATCTATTTCAGTACGGAGGAGTGTTGTATAACGGTATTGAAGTGCTAATAACAATTCTCGATTGTCTCACAGCGATAATTTGGCGAAAATGATATTAAACGAACACCATGCATGGAGAATTTATGATACAGGACTAGACGTAGGGTTAATATGTACCTGGGCAAGTCACAGGAGTCGGGCTTCCAGGCATACTTGAGGAACTGCGTATCAGGTCTGCCATACTTGATGCAATCAAACTCAGGATCTATGAAGGGACAGGTGGCAGAATCATAAAGAGGGTAAGAAGCATCAAAAACCCAATTGCCTTCGAACAAATTGCAGCGGCTCACTTGCTTCGTGTGGACTCTCAAGCTGCTGCCATGGCTGTGCCCTGCTGACTCTGCTTCTTCTGAGAAGAAGACCAGAACTTGAAGAGCTAAGAGGCACAGCGGAGCTTGGAGCTTGAAACCCATTTGAGATTTTGAGAGAAAAACGAAGTGTGGGATGCGAGTTTTTATAGTAAATAATTTGGAATTTTAGGAAGGAGAGGTTTGGCTTCGGCGGTTCACATGTCTAGAGTTTGAGCCTGAGGATATCAAATATTGAAGTTGATTGATATTGTTTACGCAAAAGTATTTTACTATAATGAGAGACGGAATTTGGACTAAGTCACACAATGCATCAATCATTATTATATCGAACTCAACATAAATATTATATTTTATTACAAATATTATACATCATGGTTATCTATGTAAGTCACACTAAAATACTAATACAAACCACTAAATTGTAGTATTGGACGTATTACAACAAAAACAACAACAATTAAGTTTTATTTCATTAAGTGAGATCGCCTATATGAATTTCTAGAATGCCATTGCAGACGGTTTTGTGCCAAATCTTCCGTTAGCTCTAAGTACTTCATATATTTTCTTAAAATCTCTTTCAAAATTCTTAGGTCTTCATCTACCGCTTTTGTCTTGAACCTTCGTCTCATAGTCACATCTTCTAATTGAAGCATTTGTATGTCTTTGGTTTACGTATCCAAACCATATTAACCGATTTTCTCTCATCTTAACTTCAATTATAGACATTTATACTCTACCTTGAATATTCTCATTTTTAATCCTAACATTATTTGAGTTAAAACTGATTAATTAGTTTGTTTGTCTTTTGCCTTAGATGAGTTGGAAAAGTTTGGAAGGGTTCGGAAATAGTGGGAAGTTGGAAGGTGGAATGGGTTGAAAATGGGTGAGGATTGTAAAGGGGGAACTGTTAGGAAAAAGAAAAGTTTCTTTAACATTCGATCGGTGATTGGTCTGCATGGTCACGGGCATAAAAACCTGTCTTGTGGCTTCTGAGCTGGCTGCTGTGCGTAGTCTCAAGATTGAAATTTTGACATCACATGGTTAAATCATGTATTGCTCTATTAAATATGTTTTCTTTTCTCTTCTTTTTAGTTAAAATGGTCTCTGAAATTTACATAACTCTTCATTTTGATTCTTGAGATTTGAAATAAATAGAAGTAGTTCTTAAGTTTGTCCAATTAATCATTTTGGTCATTCAATGAAAAATCTCCATTAAATAAGGCTAAAATGACAAAAAATGAGGGTATTTTTGTCAAATCATTTGGCCCATTGTTAATTAAATTGAGGGTATTATTGTTATTTTGATCCTTATTTAATATAATTTTTCATGGAATGAACAAAATGATTGATAATGCATCTATTTATTTCAAATCTCAGGGACCAAAATGATGAGTTATGCAAATCTCAAGGACCATTTTGGCAAATTTTTATTTTTTATTTTGTCAACTTACATGCATGTTTAGGAGATTCTCGAACAATCGACCGTATATTTTTCCGTTAGTACGTCTTTCGTCCCGTGATAGATATTAATATTAGTAAAGTGATGTATACTCGATTATATGACAATTTTTTTTCGCGCGTTAGAGCATGCTTATATTTCCAATAATACAAAACAAATAATTTTCACATATCTATTTACTCCTTCTGCAGGTCGTTTGTTAATTCTTGTTCCTTGATTAGAAATGAAGAATGGTGCGAAGGTGAGAAAATTTGATCAAAAAGTAAATTTTAGAATGTGGAATTGATTGGAAGTAATATTACGGTGTTTATTTATCAGGGCAAAATCAAATGATAAAATTAGAGGAGGAAGTGAAGGAATTAGTCAAATTAATCATGCAATAAATCATTACGGGTGGTTTAGTGGTTGTGAACGAATTTCAAACCGGTATTCTATAGGCACGTTCTGAGTTCGATTGCTGGTGTTTATGAATTACACGATGATGACTAGAAAGAAGCTGAAATGCCTCTACAACATTCCCAACATCAGCTGATCCCTTTTCAAAGAAAATACAAAATTTAACCATACAATTGTAAAAGCATGATGAGCACGATGAAATAATTGAGGATACTTAACAAATAACATGTTAATAATTACTATCAATCGGCTCACGCACCATGCATGTGCAACTAAGTTTATTTTTATCATATAATGATTTATGTGAGAAACTAAAGTAATTCCGTGGGCAAGGAAAAGAGCGTGGGGAGAGAAATGTGGAAGATTTTATGATACTAATTATTTTCTTTCCATCATATACAACTAAGAGCATGTTTCAAAGATTGTTAATTTTTTACATCTCCAGCCAAGTTTAAATTTTACATTTGGCTTGGGATGCACAAGTTGGCGACGGTCGAAATATTTGAAGACTTGTTATATGTACCAAAGTCTTGGGTAAATTTTGACCTAACTTCTTTTAATATATATATATATATATATATATTTTTTTTTTTTGATTCTTGGAGACAAATTTTGCATAAATTCAAACTACAACTCCTGGCTGGAGATGATCTTAAATACTTGGATGAATTTCATGAGCACAAGAGGAATATTCAAAATTGAAACACCCAAAGGGAGGGAAACAAAGGGGTGGGTTCCAGAGGCTGTTTAAGTCCTTGCCCTTAGCATTAGGTAAGGCATATCACTCTAGTAGGTTGATTGATCTGTTTTGGACTTTTCATAAAACTTTGTCCTCAAGCCCCAAATATAGAAAACAGTTAAAAAATAAAATATATCAGGTAGCTCTTGGTAGTCAGGCCCACCACTACACTTAGGTTGGTCACAAACTGGTTAAATGTGCTTTTGGTTAAAAATAAATAGTTTTGGAATCAATTTTTAATAAAAATGTAAATGAATCTTGGAAAAACACTTTAGGTGTTTTTAAACTCTATAAAAATGTTCGCTAAAACGCTTTCAGTTATTTTAAAAACACTTCCAAATGAGTTCTTAAATTCTCATGCCATGACATATATAGGCCTCGTTTGACAGCTCGGGCTGTATAGACTATTTCTGTCGGATAAGATAAATAGCCACCGAATAGTATTGACTAAATTAGTCGAGCGTTTGGTGCAGTACCGGATAAATGACCGTACTATTTATACTATGTTTGGTACTGAACCGGATAAGACAAGAGAAAAAATAAATTTAACAAATCTTTCTTTGTTTGTTAAACTTTTCTCATATTTATATACCTATTGAAAACCACACAAATTTTCAAATAACAAAGAAAAATAGTAAATTCCATTCATCAAATTTAAAATATTTTCCAATAACATAAAAGAAGGTTCACAAAAAACAACTACAATCGTTACGTTATTGTTGACCCTAGAAATTACAAAGCCTACGTGGCGCGCAGGCCGAATATATTCTAAGCTAACTACGTCCTTCGGTGATTGCGGGGCGTGCCAACTCGTCGGCCGAGGCTCGGCCGAGGAGTAAATTTGATGATGCTGCGTTGGGTCGCGCTACTGACTTCTGCGTCTTGCGATTGCGGCCGAGAAAGGAACGCGTCTCGGCCTCTTGGGTTCTCGAGCCTGAAGACAAGGCTGCTATTCCTTACAAAGTTCACGAACCGAATTCGGCTTACAATGTGCCGAATGTAATAACTGTAACACCTCACCTCGCCGAGAAGGCTAATGAGATGACCTCGACCAACAAGGATTCGAAAACCCTTCTCGACCGAGACTTGGATAGGCAATCGACCGTTCTCGCCGCAGTGCTGTTGATGCCAACGGAAGATACTGCGAGACCGACCGACTCTACGGTGACAGAGCTATCTATGCCGACTTAAGATATCACCGGTTGCTTCCACAGTGCTGTTGATGCCAACGGAAGATGTGTCAGCGAAAAAGGAAAAGAAAAAGATCTCAAGTTGTGAGAGTTTGCGCAGGGCAATTTTGTATTGATTTTTGTGGGGCTTTTCCATTGCTGAATGTCTTGTATTTATAGAAGCAGAACACCGAGCCCGAGTTCTAATCCTATTCGAACTAGGTTTCCTTCTCCGGATTAACGTTACCTCAATCAGTCCTACCTCTGCTAGGACTACGAATCTAGTCCTTAACTGAGCCGGATTCGCCTTCTAGTTTTACTGATCTCGTCGAGGGTCCCTATTGTATTAGGACTCGACTTGCATTCTGATTTAACCGACCTAGGCCTAGAAGCCCATGAGCTGAAGCCCCCATGACTTTCTCGCCGTAGTCTTCCCGGGCCGAAAGTGATACCTCCCTCGGCCCAAACTGCTATTTTGGGCCCAAACATTGCCCCCTCGCTCGCTTTTGAGGTCCTCGGCCTGAAACCTTCGGCCGAGTTTCGGCCTTGAAGAAGCGAATCTACCACTCAGGATCCCAATACCCGAGTTCCAAGGCGCATTTATTGAACATGATCGCACGATCTTGATCCTGCTAAACCACTCGCCACGTGGCATCCTCTAACATGGCCAATCCCCGATAATGACGTCTGAAGCGTGCGCCTGCCCGAACCGTCTCGTCATTATGACCACTATCTCAATCCGCGAGCCATTTCATCAGTCCGTGAGCCCTCCTGTCATCGTGCAGGCGTCGAACCGTCTTTCGTCATTAACTTCGCCGTCACACGCGATCGTGCGCCCCCAAAACCTAAAACCGTCGGTCTTCTCAACCGCATTCCCCAAATGCTCATCATGATCAACGATTCCTCCGGTCGATTTTGCCCTTTGCTTTGAATTTCGAACGATTGCTCTTTCCTCCCATTACTCTATAAATACCGAAATTTCCTCATTTGTACTTTACGTTCTCAAACTTCCTGAAATCCCCTACTCTTGCTCTCAAGTGCATTCCTCCATTCCAAGCTTTCGTCCTCAAATCCCCAACCCAAAAAACCTCCTTACGCTGTGCTTTTACAATGGCCTCCTTCATCTCCAAGCTTTCCCGGGAATGCGACCAGCATCAGAAGATCCTTGATCGGAGCTCGATCAAGAATATACGGTTCGAGAACGACATGAGCACCGTCCACCAAATCCTGGGTCCTCTCTTCAAGGCAACAATCCCGCCGACCATCACTGGTCTTCTCCAGGAACACTGCCTTACACCCTTGCTCCAAGGGTTCGAATGGTCGAGATGGGAGGCGGCAAAGCCCCAAGGCTCCTGGCCCTCGACGACCACCACCTGGGCGACCTGGGTTGTCCGAATGGAACGGCTCTTCGGCGAAAAATGGAAAATCCTGGGCATCTACGACGCCATCCTCCTTTCGTCGATGGACATTGTCCCTG